AGTCAGTTCTTTATTTACATACATTTGTTGCGGTTGCAGTTAACAATAGCTACTATTACAACTACACCAAAAGTAGTATTTAAAAATATGGCTATGTAGTTTTTTAATTATATAATGAGACATTTGATCAACTTTTTATAGAATATTGTAAAGTATAGACTATTCTGGCATGTTGATACCATGGCTGTTTTAACATTTTTAACGTTTATATGATTTAAAAATTCAAATCCTCCTGGCACACATTTAGAGTTCATTTTGTAACTTAATTTATTGACATATATTGATCATTGCGTTTATTAAGTACTTTCCAGGCATAAAAGCAGGTGTTTTTTTTTTGTTTTTTTTATTCGTTGCGATTTTATGATACTATTTATATCATACTTTATTTCTATACTTTATAGGCTTGTAACTCCATGTGGAAAAATCAAATTTCCTCCATGTGGAAAAATTAAATTTTTTTCGAAAATGCCTATGTTTTAACCAAGTTGATATTTTTTAAAAGAACTTAAAACCATGTTTTTTAGTTTGCTATTATACAACATGGCGTTTTTTTTTACAGGGTAAATTTAAAACCTGCGTCCGCCCCTGTTTTTTTAGTTTTTTGAGTAGCGCAATTTAATAATGTTATTAGCTAACTATTTTTTACAGTTTCTCATGATTCTAACGGTATAAAAAATAAATACTGAAATGATATATTTAAACGTTATTTTATGTTTGAAAGTAACCGAAAACAGCTTTTTTTTATCATCAAAATGTTATCATTATTAAAACAAACTTTCAACTTGAATACAAAACCTTTCAATTTTCATTATATACAAAATATAATGAAAATTAAATTGAAATATATATATATATATATATATATATATATATATATATATATATATATATATATATATATATATATATATATATATACAAATATACAAATTTTTTTAAAAATTAAGATAAAATTATCTATTATTTTTGTATATAATGAAAATTAAATTAAAATAATGACAACTTTGTGGTATGTGAATATATAAGTTATTCTTTTATATAATTTATGATTAAGAGTTTATTAATTTTGTGTATTTTATATTATTGTATGTTTCTAAAGTTAATTTTGTTCTATGTCTCAGCATCTCAAAACCTAAAGTTGTTTTGAGACATCCATTTTATGCATTGACTTATTTGTCAATTTTGCGTAGAACTATTAGTTAATTTTGTTTTATATTTAAGTGTTTCAATTAAGTATTACAAGAAATATTTATTAAAAACAGTCTAAGATTAAATTAACTGTAAATTTATTATAGATTTGAACCTAATTTTCATAAAGTGACCCTAGACACAGTCCAAAAAAAGCTTACTGTTCTAGGGCCACTAATATTTAAACCCCTCTAATTAATGGAATTTTATTAATATAAGTCAATATACTTATGCTAATACAAGAAAATTAGTATAGAGATGTGATCGTATCAGTTTTGCCATTTTTAGACAAGTCTAGGGCCTTAAATTTGAGCATTGAAAAAATCTGGCCTTAGGTACACAAATTTTCCCTAGACTTTGTTGGACCTCTTGCTTTAACAAAACTTGAAAAATAATATATTATTAAAATTACTGATCATTGAAGTAAATATACTGAAAAATAACAATTTATGTAACTACTTTATTTTATAGATTTCTGATACTCTTCGAAAAATTCTAAAATTTTAGATTATTTGATAAAGTCTGCTTATTTTCCTTAAACCAATCAACGAGAAAAAGGTCTAGAGTTTAAACTGGTAATGGTAGTACCAGATAACAAAATGCTTTGAAATTAACAAAGTGCTTTAAAAAAAGCTGTTTGTTAATGATAGTATCATTGTAAAAATAGGCTGTCGAAGTTCAAATTTTTCTAAAGTTTTCTTTAAAGTTTTTCAATACAGTTCTTAGATAATACGGTAGAACAGTAGTGGTAGAGCGCTCGCATCAAAATAGAGACGTTCCGAATTTGATCATCAAGGCCGTCTGTGGTAGAACCGTGCTTAACTTGTTTTTCCGCCCACCGGTCTTGTTCGTCATGGTTTGTGTTTCGGAGTTATAGAGTTGAGAGAGGGTTATATCTAGAGCGCGACGGTTATTTGATAAACGAGTTTTTTAAAGCTTATTTGTTAAACGGTTACGAATATTCGTTCGTTTTCATTTTATTCGTTAAACCATAGTCAATAGAAGTTATACCTTCTATTGTCTAGTTATACCTTCATAGTCAATAGAAGGTATAACTTCTATTGACTATGGTTAAACACATACTGAACAAATAATAACTGTTCAAAAATAAATGCTTAACGAATATTCGTTAAACAAATATATTCGTTCTTGTTTCTTCGTTGTACGAATAAAATAATCGTTCAACAAATAAGTAGTAACGTATATCCTCGTTAAAAAAATAGAAAACGTTTCATTTAACTAGGATATTAGTCACTAGCTTAGATATATCTACAACATGATGAAATTATGCCACATCGCCGAAATAGGTGTTTAATAATATTTTTATATACTTTTTTCATTTTTTTCATTATCCTGTGATCTATAATGCAGATCACAGGATAATGAAAAAAAATATATAAATATTATTAAACACCCACTACGGCAATGTGACATAGATTATATATACTTGCAGGGACGTCCTTAGGGGGTGGGGGCGTAGGGGGTTAGTAACCCTCCGACCATATTTACCAATTGACAAAAATATGCTTAGCGGCCAACTTAGACCTGCAGTCGGCAAATATCAAAAACCGAGGACCTTTTTTTTTTTTAGACCTTACCTATTTCAATTTTGCACTTTCGTCGGCAATAAAACAAATTTCACACACCTTTCCCCCTCCCTCCTTTTAAATTCTCTTCGGTACGTCCCTGTATACTTGCCACAGGCCACCTGATGGCAATATTATCAACTTTTTAGAATAATTGAAAAATTTTAAATAAAAATAACAATGAAAAATAATAATTTATCATGTGTAACAAAGTATACTTTTTGTAAATATTTTCGTTTTGTTATCTATATTGATATCTTTTTCAAACATCGGCTAGGTGATATTTTCCTTCTCCTTCAGGTTTTCTTTCATGAAAACCATCATTTCAATATTGTCAATGCTAAGGCTATTTCTTTTTTCCGTTAGAACATTTCCAGCAGTTGAAAATACTCGTTCCTAGGTTGCTGATGATGCAGGGATGCATAAGATCTTTCTTGCTAGTCTGCTGAGATAAGGTAATCTTGTATGGTTAGTCTTCCAATATTCAACAATATCTGCGTTGTCGTTTGCAACTCCTTCATCAACATAACGTGCTATCTTGCATTTGGCATAAGTTAACGGACAATTTTTCTCAGTTTTTTTCATTTTTTATTTTGCTCATACAGCTTCTTTACAGCAGCAGTTGAAGCTTCTTCATCGGACGACCCAGTGGATAAAAAGACGTCGAAAAGACGTCTTTAAAAGTCTTATTTACGATGTCTTTAAGACGTCTTTTTTTAATCGATTATGCAAATTTAAAAGACATCTTTTTTCGACATCGAAAAGACGTCTTTTTTTATCTTTATCTTGTCATGAAAAGACATAAAAAATGCGTCTTTAAGACGCCTTTTTTTATTCGATCATGCAAATCTAAAAAAGTGTTTTTTGCTCGGTGTCGGAACGACTTTTTTGCCATACTTATTAGTATACTATAGTATCCTATACACTATAGTATTCCTACTTTTCTTATATGAAAAGCTATTTTTTTTAAATGAAAATGATAATAGTTCTTCATACAAAGTATAACAAAAAGCGATGTCGAGAAAAAAACCTATTTTAGATGTCAATATAAAAGAGGAAGCATTTTCTACATCTTTTATATATTTAAATATAGGAGAATAGTTTATAAATTAAACAATGGTATTGTTCAACAGAATATTTTTTCATCTTTCTCTTTCTTTTCTGTTTCTTGAGCGACCTCTGTTTCTTGGCGTTGTTGAGTAAAATTAACAATTTCACGTCGAGAAATCCTTTCATACGAGCAGGTTACGAATTCTAGCTGGTTACCACTTATAAAAAACGAGTGAACATAAAAAACAGCCTATTGCTTAAATGTAATACAAAAAAAAGCAAAAGAAACTTGATTAGGTGGGTGGAGCACATTATACTTACCGACTATTAATTCAAAAAGAGCTGATCCTTTTAATCCACTTATTTTTCCAGCGCGGTCCCTTCTTTTTGAACCCACTAGGTTAGATTGGGACAGGAGTCAAAAAGTAAACAGTCTAAAAATATATAAAAATGAGTGTGCTAAAGGAATTTACAACCATCAAAATGATTGTACAACGATGTATTTTACTATGTAGTACTTAAATCAAGCTAAACATTTGCACCTCTCAGATTTGCTATGAAAACCAAGTTATTGAAAACAGATATTGATATTTTTCTGTCTTCTATAACATGATTTTTAAATTGAATTTCGCTGAAATTAAGTGTTGTAGACTCATAACAATTTAAAAATCCGTTATTGACGAAAGACTGTCAAAACAAAAAGATAATTCAGCTAATAACCTTAAGTGTTGTTATTCATTTAAACTAGACAAAAGTATTAGTCAAAGCTCTATTTTAGCCTGAAACATAAGGATGCTTTACTTAACAACATAAAATCATAAAAACTGGCGAAATTATTAGCAACACAGATGAAATACACATAAACAAAAATGAAGACTAGAAAACTGCAATGATGTTTAGATATAAGAAAGTGTATCTTTCCAGTATCATTTTCACTTTGTTTTTCGTATCCAAACCAAAAATTTTGCAAACATTTCTAAAGATAAATCTGTTGTCATTATGTGTATTTTTATCATAGCTTTATTAATGACAGACAACAGTTAACAAGGAAATAACATATTTAATATAAAAGTTGAAGACCCAATCTTTTGTATAAACAATTTTATCATTCAACTAAATGAAAACAACAAAATTATTCAGATCATTAAAAAAAATTAAAAAAAAAATTCAAGCCTACTGAATGCTTCTTTTTTTCTATCGTTCGTTTTACTGGCACTTGAACAAGTAAATATAGAGAGAAATTGTTTACAGGTTTTATTTTTCGTCTGAAAACAAATATTTTTATTTAATATGTAATAAACAACGTTCTTCAAGCACAATACATTAAAAAATTAGTCTAAAAATAAATGGTAAAACTTTTTTAAAACACTTACCTGCGACTAACTTAATTGAGACTAGATCATATTGATACCATCTTACTGGCACCATGCCATTCACTTTTGCTTCTTCCGATTAACATTTTTTAGCTAAGCAGCTGAAATTGTATATTTATTTTAGTATATATATATATATATATATATATATATATATATATATATATATATATATATATATATATATATATATATATATATATATATATATATATATATATATATATATATAGTCTTGCATGTCTCTTGCGTAGCATCAAAAAATATTTCCCATAAACTGTAGTTTTAAAGAGCGCGTTAATAAACCAGACCAGAAAAAGTTTTAAAATTTTTTTTTTTTAATTGATAGACTGCCTGGCTAAACCAAACCCTCAGTCGATGTAGCAGCACTCTCTTGCGAGTCAGGCTATTTGTCAGTCGTTGTAGCAGCACTCCCTTGCGAGTCAGGCTATTTGTCAGTCGATGTAGCAGCACTCCGTTGCGAGTCAGGCTATTTGTCAGTCGATGTAGCAGCACTCCGTTGCGAGTCAGGCTATTTGTCAGTCGATGTAGCAGCACTCTGTTGCGAGTCAGGCTATAAGATAGTCGATGTAGCAACATTTACGCATGTTTAAAAAATGTTTTTTATTAAATCAATAACAAAAACACCACTAATTAAAAAAAACTTTCTAGTCGTTATAATTGCGGTTTTTTAAAAATTTTTTAAAAAACAATTAAATTTAATGTACTTCCGCATAAATTAATTGCTTTGACATTTCGATGACAATCAAAAACAGCTTAAGAGACGAGGTAATTAAAATTGTAGTCGTAAGAGACTTTTTTTACATTAAAATGCTCTTAAAGCGACACTATATGAGTATATACATACATATATATATATATATATATATATATATATATATATATATATATATATATATATATATATATATATATATATATATATATATATATATATATACATACATATATATATATATATATATATATATATATATATATATATATATATATATATATATATATATATATATATACATACATATATATATATATATATATATATATATATATATATATATATATATATATATATATATATATATATATATATATATATATATATATATATATATACTTTAATATATATATGCATTTATATTATGTATATTTTACATAATATATTATTTTATTATATAAATTATTAAATAAACCCACTTACCGAAAAAAGTTAATTTTTAATTTTTAATCCTATGCGAAAACGTCTCACATAAAAGTTATATGAGTGGGTCAGAAGCCAAGGGGTACTAGTGATTTTACCAAATTTTACCAAAATTAAGTTAAGTATAGAATTTGATAGAAGAAGCAAACAAAATTGTTTGTGGCCAAGGGATACAAGTGAATCTCTGCCCTGTGCTGTTTTCTACTGGAAAAACATAACAACAGCTGAGTATATTTAACAAAAATACTTTAACTTTAAACAGCTGTATCTCAAAACTATGAAAATGTCACTTGTACCCCTTGGCTTCTGACCCACTCATATAAACGAAAAACGGGCCAATCAGAACGTAATAAAGGTATTGAAATCCAACGGGAGCGACAAAATGAAATCCAACGGGAGCGACAAAATGAAATCCAACGGGAGCGACAAAACGCTAACCCGAATTTAGATAGCATCAAAGAAAAACGCAAAGCTCTTTTCTTGCTCCAGTTCCCAGGAGCGTTTATTCGCACGAAGCAAAAACTAATTGAAGAAGGAAAAAAACCTTCAAAATTCTTGTGCAATTTTGAAAAAACTCAACAGCGAAACAAGTCAATTACCGAAATTCGCAAGAACGACGGCACATTGACAAGTGAACCTGGTGAGATATTCAACTCCCTCGTTTCATATTACAAAAACATTTACACCAAAACGAATTTATGCAAAGACAGCCAAAACTATGTCTTGTCACACATCACTAAACATTTAAGTGATGATGAAAATCAATTTTTAAACACCCGCCTAACCGGCGAGGATTTAAAAGAAGTCCTTTTTAAATTTGAAAACGAATTGTATTTTATAAAACTTTTTGGCACATTTTAGAAAAAGATTTTGAAGAACTAGCTTACGAAATACTTTTTGTAGAAAAAAATACTAGCCACTCTATGAAAAAAATCAATAATTTCACTGATTCCCAAGCAAGGAGATCTCACTGAATGTAAAAATTGGAGGCCTATATCCTTAATCGGCGCTGATTACAAAATAATCACAAAAACGCTGGCTCTAAGACTTGCAAAAGTAATGGGGAAAATTATAGAACCAAACGAAACTTGCGGAATTCTAGGTAGAACAATATTCTCAAATTCACATTTAGTCCGTGATCTAATAGATTACGTGGAATTTAAAAATCTACCTAGTTTCATTATGTCTATAGATCAAGAAAAGGCGTTTGACAAAGTCGATTGTGCGTTTCTGCTGCAGATTTTCCAAAAATTTAATCTCGGAGAAAATTTTATATCCTTTATTAACACCCTATATTCAGAAATTTCGGCATCTATTCTAAATTGCGGTTTCTTATCAGCCCCTTTCCCTACCGAAAGGGGAGTCAGACAAGGCAACCCTCAAAAGACATACAACAAAAGAGAGCTTTTGTTGTATGTCTTTGTCGCTGAGGCTCTCGCTTTGGTGATCAGAGCAGACAGCAGAATTGAGGGATTCCCATTACCAGAAATACCGAAACCCCTCAAAGTACAGCAGTACGCAGACGATTCGAACTTTTTTGCCAAGGACGTAAAATCAGTCCGCTTTTTTTTCGAAACAGTAAAAATATTTAAAAAAGCAAGTGGTTCAGTGATCAATGCCTCAAAAACCAAGGGTCTTGCTCTTGGGGGTTTTGATCCTAAAATGTACCCGGAATTGGACAACATAGAGTGGACTAACAACACCGGTTTCAAAATTTTAGGTGTTACGTTTTACACCAGACTGAGTAATACTACCAATTTTAACTAGCTAGTAACTCTAAACAAAATAGAGAAAAAACTCAAGTTTCTAGGACTACGTACTTTGTCACTTAGGGGAAAGACTATGTTGATAAATACGTTAGCATTGCCAAAAGTGTGATTTATGGCAAACGTGTTGCCCGTTCCCGAATGGGTAATAGAACGTTTACACAGTGCCATTTGAAAAGGCAAAAGACCAATTTCAATCCGCAATCAAAAGAGAGACACTTTTCTTACCCGTCAAAAGCGAGGGTCTCGGAATCCTATCACCGAAGGAGCAAAGCCTTGCGCTCTGCCTCAAAACACTCTTTCAACTGAAAGAATGCAGAGAGGATAACGCTTACAATTATTACTACTTTTTAAAATACTGGTTAGCAAGTTAACTTGTTAAATTTACTAAACAAAACCCAAGCTGCAACAATTTTTCAAAACACTGGGACAACAAAATGTCTCAGTACTACAAAACAACAATTGAAATATTAGGCCAAAACGGGTCCCATTTTAACATCCCCCTAAAGTTAACAAAAATGTTTTATTTAGAAGTGGCAAAAAACAAAAAGACAGTAGTACCAGCAGAACTTTTCTGGAACGGTTCAACAAAAACAACAATGCCGTGGACCCCAATGTGGAAAAAGAACTTTACCTCCCACGCATGCGGACCGACTTAAAACATCTTCTTTCACTTTTTACACAACAGTCTACCTTCTGCGGCCTTGCTAGCCAAAAGCACAAGGCAACAGATCGTTAAAAACAACAAATGTAAAACTTGTGGTAAAATCGAGGACAATCTTCACATCTTTGCCTAGTGTCCTCCCTCAGTTGAAATTTGGGAATATTTTAAACATGTATATAACTCCTTGACAACCCAAAACTTTTATTCTCCGATAAACTCGATTTTCTTTATTGGGACTGCGATTTTATCGGAAAAAACCCCGACCTCGCAACTGTTGACACACACTCAAACCATCATGAGTGAGATATGGAACAGCAGATGCCACCACATGTTTAGTAACATAAAAATTGACTTAATGGCAGTGATCAGGGTAATAATCAGGAAAATCAGGAATATTATTACTTTAAAATATAATTATCATTTCCGTAGAAACACTACGGACATTTTCTGTCAACTTTTTTGTGTTAAAAATATAATATGCCAAGTAGAGAATGGGAATCTAAAACTAAACATATGAGCTAAGCTAATAGACCAGCTCAATAAAAGAACTATATGTTTAGTGTTTCTTTCCATATCTCTACAAGTTATTATTTTTGCAACATATTATTATTAATTATGATTAAATAATCACTGCCAGCTTTTATTTTATCACTTACAATTTCCTTATTTAAATGTTTTTCTAGAGCGTACGTAAGGTGTTTTTTGTGTTAAAGTCCTGTAATTGTTTCTGTTATTTTATTATAAATTTCTTCCTTTAAATAAAAATTTCTTGAAACCTTTTTTAAACATCTTACTTTTCCACTTTACCTTATTTTTCGATCTCTCTCCGCACAATAGCACTAAAATAAAAAATAAAAAAAATAAAAAAATATAAAATCGAAAAACACAAAAAAATATAAAATTAAAAATTTAAAAAAATATAAAATTAAAAATTTAAAAAAATATAAAATTAAAAAAACAAAAAAATTACAAAATATGAAAATTAAAAAATATATATATATATATATATATGGTAACAGTTGTATTATTTTATTAAAATATTATTATTGTAACTTTTGTGAACGTTTTTAAAATTTAATTATAAAACTAATATATTGTAAAGCTATAATATTTAATACTTGAGATAATGTATTTTATAAAATTGTAAATTAATATATTTATAAAAAAAAAAAAAAAAAAAAAAAAAAAAAAGATATCGTAATTACGATACTATGGGTTAAAACTCATTTTTGTTAGGTTCTATTGGCAATAATTATTTTTAATTTTCTTAAGCAAATAATGATTTCCTTATTAACAACCGATTGACGTCTTTTCGACCTTTTTTCTGAAGACGTCTTTTTAAAAGACGTTTTTCCACGTCTTTATTTTGGCTGATTATAAAAAGACATAAAAACCAGTCATACAAAAGACGCCTTTTTGTCGTCTAAAGATGTCTTTTTTCCCACTAGGGA